ACATTGCTTAGTTATTGTCACAAGCAATACTTCAACATTGGACAGCTTTTAGGAGCAATTATGTTGCATGGGGCAAATTTTATACATTTTTTTATTGATGTACATGACAATTACAGTTTATACATTAAAATAAAGTATTTATTATATAGAGGAGGCCAACTACGAAAATGTCATATAAGCTTTAACATGTTAATGTCACATTGAAACTAATGTTTATTAATTTTAGGGCTAAAGCTTTCATTAAAAATAATACCTAGTGATCCTACCATGATGGTCATTGTCACACTTTCAATTATAAGGTTACAATGCTCTGTCCATGTCTCTCAATTGTACTCCAATATTGTCACCTTGTCACACAGGCTTCCAATGGAGACTACAATTGGCAGTTTTAACACACATTATGAAGGCAGGGTCACCATCGGAAAACCTATTTTTGCTATTTAGCGCTTTGCTATTTCAACTAATAATTGCACATTCATGCAATGCTGTACTCAAACAAAATTTATGTCCTTTTGTTTCCCATAAATAGAGCTTTCTTTTGGTGGTATTTTATCACCTCTGGGTTTGTTATTTTTTGTGCTATAAACCAAAAAAGACAGAACATTTTGAAAAACAAACTAAATTTTCTCATTTTATAATAACAAATTGCAATAAACTCAAAGTTTGTCATAAATTTAGGCCAAAATGTATTTTGCTACATGTCTTTGGTAAACAAAATCCCAATAGCTGCATATTAATTGGTTTGTGTGAAAGTTATAGCATCTACAAACTAAGGTATAGATGTTGGAATTTACACAGCTTTTACTTTCTAACTGCCCATCACATTTCTTGAGGTGCTAAAATGCCAGGGCAGTACAAACACCCCCAAATGACCCCTTTTCAGAAATTAGACACCCTAAGATATTTGCTAAGAGGCATATTGAGTCAATGGAAGACTTATTCTCTTTCCAAAAGTTTTTGGAAAATGGCAATTTTTTACACAAAGTTGTCAATTAAATGATATATTGCTCACACATGCCATAGGTATATGTGAAATTACACCCCAAAATACATTCTGCTACTTCTGCTACATGTGTGAGACTTTTTGGGAGCCAAGCCCAAAGGAGCCTGAAATCCAATGACCACTTTGAAAGCCTGAAGGTGCATAACTTCCTCATTTCACTTCCTCACTATCAGAGTTTCGGAGGCCCTGAAATGCCAAGATAGCACCAACCCCCCCCCCCCAAAAGACCCCTTTTTGTAAAGTAGACACCCCAAGGAATTTAATAGGAGGTGAGATGAGCATTTTGCAGATCTCTTTTTTTTCTCTCAAGGTTTTGAAATGAAATAAAGAATATAAAAAAATTTTCGTATTCTTTCTTCATTTTCCAAAAATTTGTGGCAACAAACAAGATCTACAACATACTCACCATACCTCTTTTCAAATTACTTGGGGTATCTAGTTTCCGAAGAGGAGTAATTTTGGGGGGGGGGTGTGTACTATTCTGGCATTTAGGGCCTCCAAAACTGTGATAGGTAGTCAGGAAGTGTAATGAGGAAATAAAGCCCTTTAAAAGTCTGAAGGTGCTTAATGGATTATGGGGTCCTGTACATAGCTAGACTGCCAAAAAGTCTCTTACATGTGGTACCCTCATACTCGAGAGAGTAGCAGAATGTATTTTGGGGTGTAATTCCATATATATCCTTGGCATGTGTGAGCAATATATTATTTAAGTGACAACTTTGTGTAAAAAAAAAATAAAATTCCAAAAACGTGTGGTAAAAAATACATTCTTCTATTGACTCAACATGCCTCTCAGTATATAGTTTGGGGTGCCTACTTTCCAAAAAGGGGTCATTTGGGGGCAGGGTTGTAATCCTGGCATTTTATGCTTAGAAGCTTATGCCACACATCGCTCACTCTTCTAACCACTTGAAGACCAGGCCTTTTCTGACACTTTTTGTTCACATGAAAAAAATCTGTATTTTTTTTGCTAGAAAATTACGTTGAACCCCCAAACATTATATATTTTTTTTAAAGCAGGCGCCCTAGAGAATAAAATGGTGGGTGTTGCAATTTTTTATGTCATATAGTACCTTGTGCGATTTTTCAGTTTTTTTTTTTTGTTTTAAAATGCACTTTTTTTAATTTTAATGCACAAAAACACAATACATTGGCCAATTGTTTGGTAAAATATAAAAGATGGTAGTATGCTGTATCTGCGTGTATGGAAGACAGGACGAAAACACCCCAGTTATCCTTCCACTTCATGGCGAGCAATTCATTGTTTTTCAATCAGGCTTTCTCCCCTTTTCTAAGACCGTATTTACAAGCCGTTGGGAAAAGCTCCGGCGATTAGGTCGCACGGTGCCACATGTGCTGATTACAAGATTGTACAAATGTTTAAATATGTGGCATGCTTGAGTAAAAATTGTCCACGTATAAGTGGTACCCCCATATGGAAAAAGGGTGACACCAAGTCCCAAACTATCTTGCTACTGCTCCCCATGTAGTCTAGGCATCCTGGGGGGCCTCACGTGACTATCTTTTCCCTCGAAATCCAAAACATTGCACAGCCTGTTGCCCCCTCACAGGTATTATACATTTTGACCCAATATCTGGCACGCTTGCTGGGGAGAAACTGTTTGAATGCAAGGTGGCAGAAAAATTAATGAGGGACTCATCAACGCAGATGTTTTGCTGTGGAGTATACACATCTGCAAATTTCTGATTAAGGTTAAGGTGATTTACTAGGGGAGCTGGTCAAATTCAGGGTCACCCCGAGTGTATAGTCATTGAAATGCATAAATCACATTATATTCTCATATCTATGCCTGGCCATAGCAGCAGAGAACATGGGCATATGATTAATTGGGTCTGTGGACCAATACAACCGCAATTCATTTTTTTTAGCAATTCCCATGTTGAGGGTTAGGCCCGAAAAACTTTCAAAATGGAAACCTTAAGTTTCAATTTGGGTTGGCGGCAATAAATTGTCGTGCTTATAAATTGCTTTGATCCTCAATCAATCCATACAGGTCTTCCATGAAAAACAGCTCAAAAAAATCAAGGGAAGCAGTTAAATTTGCTGTTTCCACCTGAATTCTGGGTTGGGCAGTGAATGGGTGAAGTACAGGTGGTGCAGAATGTGTGGGCTGCCAATCAGGATTTGCAAGCACATCTGGAAGGACACTATGGGCTCTATTGGCCTGTGTGCGAATTCTTGGTGGCTGCGGGACACTACTTGTGCTAGCCACTGCACCAGTTTGTACTGCACTTAAGGGGATTTGCCCTGTCACAAAGTGATACTGCAGTGGTTGTATAAAAAAAGGGTGACAGGATGTACTAGGCGGCTGGTGCTCCCAGTTCACCAAAAGGTAGAGCAGCACTAGTACTGGCACTCTGCTGCATATAAGAATCATCATGCAATTGCAACACCTCAGCAACCTGTGAACGGGGTCGAGTATGCATGACCTTAGCAGGGACCTCTACTCCATTGTCTGAGCGATCTGTCAGGGTGCCGCTGCTCTCTACAGGTTCATATTCTGAGCCTGATTCTGTCAGTGAGGCTTCCCCTTCGCTTTCATCTGACATACTCAGAATCCTGTAGGTCTCTTCACTAGAGTACCTTTCGTTGGACATTTTGGCCACCAAATTTAAAGGGAATCTAGTGCTACTCATGGTAAGTCAGGGATTGCTTGAACCACTTAAAAAAAAATTTACCTGATAGTGCTAGCAGAGATCAGGCCTGATCTTGCTAACCTTGCAGTTTTGTGTGCAATGTATCAAGTGACAGTGATTTACTGACACTGCACTTGCTGGGGGAGAAGTTAAGCGTAGGGACTAAATGCAGGTGCTGGCAGGTGTCGAGGCTGATCCTGTTAAGGCAGCATTTTTGGGGACACTATACTAATGTGAATGCTGGTATAGTGCTTATCTGATCAAAAATATTGATCTTTTTAGATACTATGCTAGCAATGGAGGTTTATTGTGTATCTCAGCGTGTTCCTGGCAATCAAAGGGTTAAATGTGATGACTGATGTACTGGCAGGCAATCTGACGCTATCTTGGAGAGACGCTAACTGACATTAACCGATGCTAACGCTATCTGAAGTCACCTGTGACACTAATACAGTTATCAGTAAAAAAATCTGTAGACTGTACTAATGACATTAGTGACAGGGCAGTGAAGGGGTTAACTGGGGCTGATCAGGAGGTTAAATGTGACCTATCAGTGCTTTTACTGTAAAAGTGTAGTGCTTTGACTCACAGGAATCTGCTTTCTTCTCTCTCTGGAATGGAATGTGCTCCAGCGAGAGAAGATTGCATCATTTCCGGTGCCTGTGTAATGTAAACACAGGCACAGGAATATCTGTGATTGAGCAGTGATCGCTCAGTAGATCCAGGTCGAACATCACTGGCCTGCTCACTGATTGGTGCTACACTGAATCACAGCACTGCTGGGTCGGCAGGCACGCGTGTCCCCTACCCACGAACATGGCGGGAGCGTGGATCGCATTTATATACGTCATTTTGCACAGGGAGTCCACCCAGTAGCGGTAAACCTGCTATAGGGAGGAGCTTAACTGGTTAAAAAACAAACACTTGTTTACAATATACAGTAATTTAGGAAATGTAATGTCATTCAGTAAGGGTTTACATTTACAGTAAAGCTCAGTGATAGTATTATGTACATTGTACTGATTATATTTTCTTTTAAAGGACCCCAAAAGAGAGCTGTGCTATTTGTAAAGTTAGGACTGTGTATATCAAGTCCTGGTCCATGGAGACCCTTGTTATGAGATGCGTATGAATGGTTGTTCTCAAATTATGTTCTATGTTAGAGGTAAAGAAAATTTTTTTGTGGTGTAGGAGTGCTGAACCGTATTGTCATGGTTAGGGGTCAGACTTGGAAGCCAGTAGTTATAGCAGTAGAGTGGATCCCATTGACCAGCTGAATAAATGCAGCAGCAGGTCACCCAGGCATATGACATGGGCTCACTTGAGGTGTGGGGTCTAAGCCAGGGACGGAATGACCATTTGGAAACTCTGGCACTGCCCGAGGGCCCGGGGTCAGTAGGGGGCCCCATGAGATGCCCTTGGTACCTTTTTCAAAGGCTTTTTTGAGTTTGGGCAAGGACACAGGGGCCCATGATCCCCTATTGCCCGGAGGCCCCATGAGTTGTCAGTCCGCCCCTGGTCTAAGCACTACCCTGTGTTCACCAGACCTCCTGATGGTGAATGATGGTGTTGCTGTTTGTTAGTACCAGGTCTTGGTCCTCAGGATTACCCCACCAGGAGATGAGCAAACCAGGGTCCAGTAGAAGATATAGCAGGTAGAGATCAAGCAGAAGCGTAGTCGAGGAACAAGCCAGAGGTTGGTAACTTGTGATCCCAGGATGGGATCAAGCAGAAGCCTAATCAAGAAAAAAACCAATAAGTAGAGACGTGGACAGCTCTAGGAGTGAGGAGTGACAAGAGCGCAATGTTGACTGGATAGAGCACAATAATCTGACAAACAGGAAGTGCAAAGGCATGGCTAAAATAGGAAGTTCATGGGAGAAGCAATGGGTTCATGGTTCAAGAGAAACAAGGTTCAAACCAAGATTGTTCAAGGAATTGTCCAGCATCCCAGGTGGATCAGCAAGAAGAGAAATTGCCAGGTACAGCAGAGGTTGCAGGTTCAGGCCTGGTTTCTGACACTTATGGTGGTATAACATGATGCTATCTTAAAGGCTGCTCAGCAGGAAATGTGGTGTCCAGCTGGACCCTGGGAAAAGTTTAATAAAGTGTTGAAAGGACGGTAAGACCATACTAGCTTGTACAGTTCTTTGAAAGATGTTATTTTGTAACACTTTAGAGTTAAGGAACAGGAAGTATAAGTATGTGATCGGGTCTTGTTGATCTATGCCCTGTAAGCCTAACAGGTACCTCAAGAAGCTGTGCACACAAAAATGGACAGATAACGCATATTACTGATAAGCTTTTTTTAAATGTAACTACCCAGCCAAACAATATTTATCATAATGTATACATAAATCAATCACAAAGTTGAGGTTTGAAAGGTCCATTCCAGAGAAATATGAACATTTTGCATTTAAACGGACCAACATGACTTAAACTAAACAGTGATACTTTTCATCATGGTTTGAAGCTACTACAGTAAAGCTGTGTAGTCGCCCTCATCAACAGAATATAGCAAGCAGTTCATTAATTTATGACTAGCAAAGAAGGGGCTATTGACTGCATAAGACAGATACCCCAACCACTCAGCCCTGTTTGCCAACAAATGGGACCTAACCAAAACACTATAATAACACAGAGATTTTAGTTATGTACATTTTCATTTTTTGCACATGAATATTACAGATCATTAATGAGGTGCCCCAGGAAGTAGTTAGTATCATCACTGTGGCATATGTAACAATTACTAAATTGATATCAAATGTAGCTAGGGGTTAACCTCCTGGACCTTCATCACTGACATTTTAGAGACCTACTTATCAGGAGCATCTGAAGACCTCTTCGATGAATATACAAAACACACCAAAGAGAGACAATAAATAAACAGCTCATTAATTTATAACTAGCAATGGAGGTCTACCTGATTTGCCTCATCTTCCCTAAATGTAAACTTACATTCATACATACAGTTCCGTGCCAATTCCATCGTCCTGTGCCCACTGTATCCTCATTCATACACATCGAAGAATGAAAGGAAGGATACATAAAACAGAACTGTGTGCCAAAAGGCTGAACTCCCATTAGAAGCCCTGTGACAGCACACACAGATAAATTGCGTAGGCATTACAGTTGACTGGTGTAGGATTGTATTAGCAGTTTGCTTTAGTTTGCAATGCAGAAGTCCATTTTCACTTTTTGAAGCCAAATTAGGATAACACCTTCTTTATACAGTATTTGCTACTTGTCCCATTAACATAGCATTGGTAAAAAAAACAAAATCAAATATCGCAGCTTAAATTTTTAGATGATTTATTCTGGGTCCTCCAGCAAGGAAAAACCCTACTTAGTTCTCTTTATGAGAAGCTTGGCAGTTGTGTTTGACATAATTAAAGTGGTATTAAACCATATTGCAGCTTACCAATTCTTAGATGTGGTGGCGGCATTAGTTTTCTTTTTTTTTAGGTGTTTTCACCTGGTTATCTGGCGAGTAGCACACCTCCTGTATTAAAGTGCCCACACCCTGGATGAAAGAGCACATCAGCACAGTAGACAGCAACATTATTAATCTGGGGGGAGTTGAATATTAGATGTACTAGCAGATTTGGATACACTAACAAATTGGAGCTAATCTCCAGCTGACACAACAGTTACACAAGCTGTTACATCAACAGTTCTTTTCCTCTGTTGGAAAAAGATGTTATATGAATAAATAAAAGCTGATCATTGTAAGCACCCATCAGTGTTACAACACTTAAACATCTACATTTGCAAGAGAGTTTGTTCTGTTGAAAAACAAGAGACTTACTGGCAGGATCACTAGGTGAAATTAAAGGAAAGAAAGTGTAAAAAAATGAATTGGAATGCTTTAATATAATGTTTTCTTTTGGACTTAACACTGCTTTAGCCCCGTCTGTACAGTGCAGGCCGATCCACATTATCATTTGCAACTAGATTTGAACACTGTCTGTCCTAGCAAAGGGTTAAAGGCATAGAGGCTGGGCTTCTGAAATTGTATGTTAATAAGAACAGACTTGGGACAGACTCACTCTAACATGCAACGTAAAGGCTCAATGTTTTTTTACCTTCATGCATTCTGTGCAAGCTGCTTGTTCTGGGAGCACTTGGCAGGTGGGAGGGTCCAGGAGCACCGGCGGGGAACCCGAGAAGGGGAGGATCAGAGCCGCTCTGTGCAAAACCACTGCACAGGGCAGGCAAGTATGATGTTTGTAAAAAAAAATTTTTAATTGCCTTTAATATCACTTTAACTGAGAAAGTGGACACATGCTTGAGCATGAGTGTAGCCAGGTGATTTAGAGGTCTTTATTTATACATTTAGACATACAATAGTGGAATTGTGAGTTTTTGGTCTCATAGACTTTTAACCACTTCCAGAGCGGACACTTTTACCCCCTTCCTGACCAGGGCAATTTTCAGCTTTCAACGCTATCACACTTTGAATGACAATTGCGCGGTCATGCAACACTGTACCCAAATAATTTTTTACCATTTTTTTGACACAGATAAAGCTTTGTTTTGGTGGTATTTATTCACCGCTGGGATTTTTTTTATTTTTTTTTGCTATGTAAATGAAAATGTCCAAAAATTTTGAAAAAAAAGTGTTTTTTTAATAAAATTTTGCAAATAAATAATATTTCATCATAAATCTTTGCCAAAATTTATTCCGTTATCTTTTTTAGTAAAAAAAAAAAAAATCCAAATTAGTTTATAACCAAAAATTATAATTTTTAAACATTTTTTTTTTACATTTTTATATTATTTTTTATTTTTATTTATTTTTTTACATACTGTCACCGTAGCAGTACAGTGTCACCATGGTGACACTGTACTACTTGTGGGGGGTGATGAAGATTTTTTTTTTTTTTCACACTGATTTCTTTTACACCCATATAGGATGTAAAAGCAATCATTTCTCTTTCTCTCTGTCTGCATTCTTGCACTCTTTGAGAAGTACTGAGTGAGCTGTGATTGGTCACAGCTTGTCACGTGGTACAAGGCTGTTGTGAATAGCCTTGTACCACGTGACCTCTGTGATCATTCACAGATTTCACATGTAGTAAGCAATGATGTCACAAGTGACATCTTGCTTACTACTTTGCATATGATCACTGATTGGCCAATCAGTGATCACATGATCGGGACCTTGTACAGAGGTCCCATCCGACGATCGGTTTTACTGTGTCCAGAGGACACAGCAGGCACCAGATCGCGGTGCTGCGCGCTCCGAGGGAGCGCGCACAAGCAGGGTGCGGGGAGGCCGTTTATAAACGGCCACCCGACCCTGCACTGCCACCATCTGGCCGTTTATATGCAACGGCCAGTCGGGAAGTGGTTACATGGGAGTACCTAAAAAAAAAATGTGTGCAAGCACACATTTTAAGTACTCTCAATAAAGTCTGTGAGGCCTAAAAAGCATGCTTGACTCTTCTCCAAGGATGTTCATGTACTTTTTGGAGCTTCACGCAACAGTTGAGTTTGAACAGACCCCATTGAGAATGGAATTCTTCATCTTGAGGATTGTTGTGCTCCAGAAATCACGCATCAAAATGCTCAGATTGGAATGGGATCTAAAATACATTTCTAATGAAAGCAAAAACTTGGTAAAAGTAAGTAAGCAACAGTCAGGTCACTGAAGCTCCATCATCCTTGTATATTCTGGCTTTGCTCTTCATCCATCTAACTGCTGTAAAGAAGGCAAACAGACCTATTTTCATAGCTTGGTCTTGTGCAACCTTTATAGATTAACCTCCCTCCATCCCTTACTGTGATAGAAATGGGAGCTGAGAAGAGATAAGTCTTGCATTAAGTGTCAGTCTCTGGGGCTTTCTGCTTCGGCCAGTGAAGGGACACCTGCCATGGTTTGATTTCAGTCTGCGCTCCGATGCTTGTAGAGTCGAAGCTGCTCTGTGAAGATAAAGGATCCCAGAGACAGGTAGCACACAGCTTGTGAATAAACACACAGCAAGGGCAGTGCCAGGCTGCCCGCTGTATTAATGCATGGGGTGGCCAGTTATTGAAATGTGGGCAGACACGGCTCCAATTTCACCAATCTGCACAGGCACAATGGCCTCGCAGGTGAATTACTTTCCCTCAGCCCTTTCTTCCCTAATCTTTTATTCCTTTTTGCACTTTTTGTTTCCTTTGCTCATCTGTCATGCTGCTCCTTTTACATCCAGCAAGTTCCCAGAAGCATCCATCTTTCCTATTATGGCTTGTATTGTTCAGGGCTGTTCTCTCTTTGGCCCTGTTTTTTTCATTCCTTCTGCTCAGTCTCATATGTTTTATCTTTCTCTCTTTTTTCATTTCATGAGTTCCTCTAAGCCAAATCATAACCAGCTTTCATTTCTGCATTGTGCCTTGCTTTTTTTCTGTATCTGCTTCTGCATTTACTCATTTTTCTTTTTAATCTATCCCTTCCCTTGCTCCCTATCATTGTGGAAAATATGACTACCTACTTGATCATTCATGGGATGGTGGCCTTTCCTGGGATACATGCAGCAATGTGCAAAGAGCAAGAACTCTCTAGAACCAATTAGCAATCATCTGTCATTGTCCAGACTA